ACCATTTAATAGGAATACCAGTGAAATCTAAAGCAAAGCACAATGTTGCCAACAAGGGAAACTATTCGGGCCAATTGGACAACATGAACTGCACACAAACTAACAGATATTCTAAGCGACTATTCTGAATACTTTCGGTCCAACTTTTCAACTTATTTTGTCATCAGGAAACTGCAGGAGAAAAGCAGCCATCACAGCAGCACACAAACAAAAAGTAACCAAACAAAACTGCCTTCATTCAAAATCTACCCCTAGTGATTTTATAGAGCATTTGCCCTAAAATCTATTTCACTTTTCTACTTACATTTTAAAGGGAAGTCGATTTCATTGCTTTTTTTATATTCAGCATGCTACTCTAAACCTTAATCTCGCCCAGTGTGATTAGGTTCGTGCTCTGTGAAAAGATTGCAATCGCACAAAAAAAAAGTATCCAGATAACCATTTTTCAGGTCTCTATCCAAATTCAATCTGTTAGAAAAAAAAAAAAGGTGTTTCAAGATGACATTGTGTTCAGCTAAGAAAGTTGGTTCTTCTTTCCCCATTTCATGACTTTCTAGTTTCCAGGGAGAAGATGCTAGCTGTGTTGGAGATATCAGTATTTTGTAGGGGTGAGGAAAAAAATCGATACTGTGTAGTATCGTGATATTTTGTTTGCTAATAATGCATCGATACAGGGACAGCAGAAATCGATATTTTGTTACAAAAAAGGTTTTTGTGGACTGGAACTCTGACTTCAGAGCATGTTGATCCTTTTTCTGAGCAAGAATCCTGACATTCCTTCACTGTCCAAATGTGTTTAACTTTTTTTTTGGCAGCAATAAACATGACCGTTTACTTATTTTAATTTAAGACATGTTTTATTTTAATTAAGTTTAAAACTTTTTTATTTAATGTAAAATTATATTTTGTTTTAATTTACTTTCAAATTCTTCAGTTGCTGAATGGGCTGCATAGTTTTCAAATTGCATAGTTCAGAATAGCTATAATTGTACCAGATGGTTGCATTCAGTTAAGTTGGACTAGACTGTAATACAAACCGTCCAGTTTGTCAACAATAAAACTAAAATGAGAGAAAGACTGAGTGTGAGACTTTGATATTAGATAAAATGAATATTGATAAAGTTTACCTTTATGTACAGAATCTGAATGTCGCAAAATATTTTTTAAAAATTGCAATAATATCGTATCGTGCGTTAAGTATTGTGATAATATCGTATCGTGGGATGTATGGTGATTCCCACCTCTAGTATTTTGTAGGGGATCTTTATTCATCTTAGGCCTAAAATATGATACATGACGGTGAGATATTAGAAACTCTATAAAAAGGGCACAGCCAAACCTAGACCTTCTAATATCCTTTTTTAATGTTAAGGTTACTAAACTGTGACTTAATTGAATCTGAATACACCTTGAACCACATTTAATTACTGCACGCTTTACAAAAGGCCTCACTGCATGATTGCTTTTTAAAAAATGAATTAAAAAACAGAAATTTAAAGAAGAAAAGCCCGTTTAAATGTATTCCTACTTTAAAGAGGAATTAATTGAGTTGAACAGATGTAACTTGTTTCTCTTTCTTCCCCTCACAGACAGACCTTTCCACCAGAAGACATCTGCTCATGTGCTCACAACAGCAACTCATTTTCATGTTATTCATTAAAATAAAACAAATTCTGCATTCTTTTGCCTACTAAAAACATGGATTTTAGTAGCTTAAAAAAAATGAAATAATTTTCTTGAATTCTTCTACACTTTTTTTATTATTGAATTTTCAGCAACAGGCTTTCTGAGGGTTTTTCGAAGCCTTTCTTTGGACATTGGCTGTTTGTCTTTTTGTTGTAGTTGTTTGTTAAGCCCCTTAAAACTGACCTATGAACCATTCAGGCATAACAAAAAAAAAAAAGAAAAAACATCTTTAAGGAATGAACCCGGACTGTAACTAGACATAATAGACAGCTTGGCAAAGAGACAAGTTAAGTTGTGTCTTTAGACACTGTGTTACTAGTATTGTTCTTGTTCTTCTTCCGAGCACTGTGCATGTGTGGATATATATTTCTGATTGGTGCTCAACCACACAATACCTTCTGTTGACGCCCATACCTGCCAAAAATAACCACCAAATTTTTGCTAGGTTTCAGGACTAATAAGCTCTAATTTTTTAAGAGTTCATCATCAAGGTCAAAAACCACCTGTTTGAAAAAGTTCTGTCACACACCAAAAAGTTAATAAAACTTAGACTTGAGTTTTATGATTAGTTCACTCTTAAGGGAAACTTGCCAGCTTCCAGTGGGCTGAGACTGTAACACTCTTTTCTGTAATCCAGGAGGGAATATGAATTTCTACCTTGTAAACTGATCCTCTGTGGAAATTGCAAGCAAGAAAATGACCAGAAATTCCAGTCTTGACTTTATGTCTAATGCCACGAAGGGAATATAGAGATTTCTGCCGAATACATTCTCAGTCCAATTACCAGAGAATTGCTTTAATGTATTGAGAATAATGTGCATTTTTGTTTTTATTGTGAAACATCAGCCATCCCAAAATGATATTTAGAATATTGTACAAGTGCACAGAACAAACTAATTTACTTGTGAACATTTATTAGTAAGTTGAGATAAGAGCATATTTGACAGTTAGTTAAAGATTTCATCATAACAACCAGGAAAAAACTGCAGCATTTAAACAAAGAGCTACAGTTAAGTGCAGGAATTTAAGGTTAGAGCAATATTAGACACTGCAACTTTTCCCATCTCCCTGCAGGTGATTATTACAGTGGGTGTAACTGGAGTTTGACAACATGGGTACTTGTATATAAAATACATGTAAATAAAAATGCATATTACTATAATACACTAGCTCTTTGTCTGTCTGGCAACTCCTTCAACACAGTCATGAGCTTAGCAGCATAACTTGGCAGATATTTACATCTTGGGCAACTGAAGGTATATATATTGTATTAAATATTATGATATCGTCATGACGTCTAGCAACAAGCAAAAATGACCAACTGCTAGCATTTATACCCAGAAAAACCTTATAAACACATCTCATTTTAGTTTCAAGACAATAACATCTAATTCCCCCCATTAAAACTTATCGCAGCTGCTTCACATTTAGTTTTGGCAGGCCTACACAGTCTGTCGAGCAATATCACAATAAATATTAGCCGTGACTGAATTTCAATTTAAAAAAATTTATATCACAATTTTTAAAAACCCGAAAACGAATACTATTAGTTTATGAAGATATTTAAAATTATAATTCGATATTTTATTTTGCTGTATTCAATGATGAAAAAACAAATTACACACAATTTCTTTTCACAAGCTTTGTAATTTATGATAATTGTAATTGAAGGGCCTGATTTATATCAGATTCATGTAAGAAAATCTAATTTGGCCACAGTTTTTCTTCAACTAATGAAGAAGCAGTGTGCATCACATCAAACTAAATTAAACATGCCATGAATACAATTAATTGTAGAGCAAGATCAGAATTATTGGCTACTGTCAGCCAAGTCCACTCAATCCTCATAAGAGGGAAATTCCAAAAATATATTATCTGGTTGCCCCGATGGACAAATTCTGTAAAACTAAAAGGGTTCTTTGTAAGATAATTGGAAAAGTGGAGGAAGCAAAAAGAATAAATGTTCCCAATTGGTGGGGAAATGGCGACATGAATGTGTAAGTGTGCGAGATAAAAAACAGGAGCCTAGCAACAGACAAAAGCTATCATTCAACTCCAGCCTGTGACTGAAATATCCCCAAAATGGAATTTCTGGTTGATATGCCATGAAGTAGATAGTTGTGCTGCTATGAATTAATGAGACAGATTCCAGCTTCTCCCTCTTAATGTCCCATACAACAGAGATATGCCTGTATGGGGAGCAGATGGCCAGTGAAAAAACACAATAGAGCAGTCAGAAACCAGACAGCTCTGACTTCATTTCGAGAAAATCTCGATCAGCATGAACCCCAAAGCTCGCAGAGGTTATGCCTTACAAAGTGTCTTAGAAAAGACGATAGCAAAGGGTTAGACCAGAGGTAACGCAACCATTCATACTAGGAATTTTGCACAAAAGCAGAAAAACACCAAGATATCAATGTTGGCAGAAGAAGAAGTGGAAAAAGCAGAAGAAATGTCAAAAACTTCACCCCCTCCAAACACTTTGATCGTCGCCGAATATGGAGTGCCAACATTCCCAACTGATCCTTGTCCGAGCAAAACATGAAACTAATTGTGCTCTGACCTCCCACAGACCTGATTGTAGGGTACAAGAGTAGGCCTTTGAGAGAGGCTTAACATCTTTTGAGAGAAATAAAGTCACTGCCATTTGCAGCCTATGAACAGCACAGTACTCTAACCTGGGCCATTAAGATGTACGACAGGACAAAAGCATAAAAACATCACCCAAAATAGACAGTAAATATATCTGAGTAAACATAGAAATGTATTTTATGTTTATTCATGGTATTAATGTGCTAATTAAAGCAATGCTAGGAGACGACCACTCCAAAATGTTATAAAGTGAAGTTTCGTTTTTTCCTCCTAGTCAGAGTTTGCAACACCAGCAGTGTTGCTGCTGGTGTTGCTTACAGCTACCACACACCTGAGACCTATTATGATCCATCCCAGCCTAGGTAGCTGTGAGTTCCCTCCCTTAGGCCCAACCTCAAGAGGGCGCCTGCTTCCTTCTATGAGACTGGGCTTGCTATAAGAAGTTGGTGTATTGATGTGTTTCAGCTGCTCTTGGTCTGCCCCCACCAGCTCAGACCAATTTGCTCATGAATTACTGTTGCCCTGGAAAACAACGTCTAGGGATATAACTGGGACACAACTAGCTCAACAAATTCATTTTAGGAAACAATATGTGAGGAATTTGGGTCGTCTGTGTTTCTTTGTTTGAAAAGCTGGATTTTGCTTCAACTGGGTGCCATCTGTGTAAGAAATGGAGAGGGAAATGGACTGGAAAGGGAAAAGAGCACCGTTGATTACAATACCTTGCGTGAAGCATGAATGTCATAGAAGGGCTTTTGTCGGACACTGTAGGGCTCCTTGGTCTTGTCAATCTGTCCAGTCTTCATCTTTTCGTTCCTGGGAGAAATTATTTCCTTTTCTATGCATAACAGCCGGATATTGAAATCACACTGGCCAACAGGCTGTCCCTGAAACACAAAACAAAATCAGTTATTCAACTCTACCCTCATGCAAACCTTCACAGGTTATTCTATGCTTGGCTATTCACAAACAAGAACAATTAACATCTATACGAATGCGACAAATACGGCAGTATTTATTTGGACTTGGATTTAACTTTGCAGTTGTTCCAAGGCTAGATTAGCGCATACATTTTAAAATGCATTTCTTTTGTGAAAACATATTACAGATATGTCAAGATTACTGAACTGCCAGTTTCGTTACCATGGCAACACTGGTAATTTTACTTTTCGTGGGGTTGAGGACTAGGACTTTTGTACATCTGAACAAGGCAGGCATTTTCAAAAGGGGAACAAAAAGAACTTTACAATTAGTGTGACAGTAGCATAAAGTACACTTTGAGGTGCTTCTTGGAATCCTTTCCTCAGAATGAACAGACTGATGAAAATAGGACGAGGGACTTTTTTCATGATGACCCAGTCAACTGCAAACAAACTGCTAGGTATATTCAATCAGACATTAGACCACAAAACAATACTCCATTAATGTGTAAATGCAATTACATATCTCGCCAATATTTGACCAATATTGAGTGTTTAAATTCATTGGCATAATGATGGAGTTGCTCCCGTCCTTTGCAGCTATAACAGGTTCCACTCTTCTGGGAAGGCTCTCTACAAGAGTTTGAAATGTGTCTGTGGGAATTTTTGCCCATTCATCCAGAAGAGTGTATGTACGGTCAGACCACTGATGTTGAATGAGCTGGCCTGGAATACAATCTTTGCTCTAGTTCATCCCAAAAGTGTTTGATGGAGTTCAAGTCAGGAGTCTGTGTGTGCCAGTAAACACCAAAACTCATGCAACCATGAGTTTATGGACAGAAAATTACATTCCCAAACGGTTCCCAGAAAATTTCTTGGTAAGCTGAAACATTAAAATTCCCCTCGACCTACCACAGAAAAATCACTCACTATCACTCACAAATGTTTATAAAGGCAGGCTGCATGGCTAGGTGCTTGATTTTATACAGCTGTGGTAATGGGCGAGAAATCACCTAATTTCAATCATTAAGAGGTGTGGCCCAATACTTTTATATATGGTAACCTGTGAAAAGGTTACTTTAACATCAGCTGAACTCGTCCCAAAAAAGTATACTGCACAGCTAAATCAGCTTTTCTTTGTCACCATGACAACAGTTTCTCCACAATGTTGGTCAATCACTATTATTCCACATAGACAAGCATTTCAACCTGAGCCACTACTTTCGTTTACACAGACGGGGGCCACAAAGGTTCCGCCACAACCATCTGCTGGTCCACTGTGACTTTGACAGGAAAAAGTACAGCAAAGCTTGTTCCTGTCCCGGGTTATAAATAATAAAGCTCAGGTGGAAAATGTAAAAGTGTTAAATGGTGCCGAGGAGTTTGAGATGAAAACAGCCTGATACGGCTCGTTACCGCCACATATTTTCTACTGCTCGGCCGACAAAGCAATTAAAAACAACGACTCACAGACTTCACTTTTATCAAAACTGCTGACGTTAGTGATGAAAATCTGCCAGATGATCATGAACCAAATACGTGGCAACAATTTGACATTTAATTGAAAAAAATGAGCTCAAACTCCAACTGAGCTGCAATTTATTTGGTGCCAAAACACATCATAAATCACAGAAAGCTTTTTTTTTTTTTTTTAAATTACCCGGCTGTGATAAGCACAAAAATATTTCTAACCCAAACACCTCCTTGACTGTTAAAATTGACATTTATTATAAAAGAAAGAAAAGACGAAGCAGACAATCCTTTTTCAAACCACTTTATGATTTGCCAGAAAACTACATACTTTGGCAAGATAGACTTGTTTTTAACCGAGCAGTTACACAACAGTATTCTCTATGCTAATCACTGGCTCTGGTACAGCCACTAAATAAAAAGAATAATGGAATTGAATTTAAAAATGTGTTTGGCACCGATAACAGCAGCATGTTGTTCCAAACATCATTCTATCTGCTTATTGAAAATACAATAATCTTTCCTTTGTAGGGCTTAAATAAACAATCTTAAAGCCCATGATAGTAATTATTAATTTACTGTAGATGATCTTTACTACATTAAAAGCATTTATGTTTTGTTAATTAGATAATTAGTTTTGGCAAAGGATGATTGCCAACAAGTTTAACACATTTTTCTAAAATGATGGCAATCTAAGACAAGGAAAAAAATGGGTAAAAGAAATGTTCCAACAGCCACTTTTTCTACTGAAACTGGCAAAAGTTTTTGAACATGAATGAAAAATAAATAAATAAATATACAAATCGATGAACTGACTGTTACAGGTCTACTGTACAGCCTAATGCAAAGCCAGTTTTTAAGCAGCAATTATTCAAGTATTGGACCATTTCATGAGGTTTTAGTTTCTTAGACAAAGAACATCGATTTATCAAAACAATTCATCGAAACATTCGCAATTTTTACAGCTCTTACACCAGCAGGATGGATCAATATTCTCTCATGTGTATCGAGAGGCCCAAAGGCTTAAGACCTAAGCATTTGTATTCTACTCGAAGTGTTTGGTAAAGGCCACTTCTCTTCTCAACAGCTTTCTAAGGAATTATTGGAAATGGCAGAGGAAAAGATTTCTGAATAAAAGGACGAGACAGTGAATGACAAAGAATTAGCTATGATTAGACGCATTACTAGAGTGTGCTATTTTGTGAGTCACACGGATTTTCAGCAAAACAGAAAAGAAGATCAGAGCCCTCTTGAAAAGTATAGCTTTTCAAACAGGCACTTTGGAAAGACGATTTGGAATTATCTACGCTGCATAGATTACATACAGCTACAAGAGAGACAAAATTGATATGGCAAAATATTTTATTGGCTTCCATGGGTGACAGATTGGTAGTAAAAGTGAGTGTGTTTAATACACGTGCAGCAGCACTAAATGACTTTCCTTAGCACTCTGACTCATGGTGGTGCACAGAAAAGGAAAGGGAGTAAAGTGAATGAAGGCAACCAAGTTGAGAAGAAGAAAAAAAAAAAAACTCACAGGGTGGAAAATAGGAGAAAACAGAGGAGAGCATTTCAGAGAGCTAATTACCGGAACGGGCATATTATTAATATTTATTAATAATATTAATATATTAATAAACACACACACACACACTTACACTATGATGTGTATGCCTTTAGAAATACAGGTAAAATCTGACCCACTTAATGGTACGTAGACTTATTGGCCACTTTATTAGGTATGGCTCATGATCAAAACAAATACCTAATCAGCCAATCACATAGCAGCAACTCAATGCATTTAAGCATGTAGACATGATCAAGACAACAGAGTGAATGGTTTAATAGACTTTGAATGTGGCATGATTGTTGGTGTTCTAATTATTTTAGAAACTGCTGATCTGCTGGGATTATTATTTATTTATTTATTTTTTACACACAACCATATTTAGGATTGACAAAGAATGCTCTGAAAAAGAGAAAATATACACTGTTGATGTCAGAGGTCAGAGGAGAAAGGTCAGACTGCTTTAAGCTGACACAAAAGCATAGAGAAAAAAAAACATTCGATAAAAACAAGGTATGCAGAAAAGCATCTCTGAACACACAACGCATCCAAGCATGAAGCAGATGAGCTGTGGCAGCAGAAGGCTACAGGTGCTACAGATGTCACTGTTGTCAGCTAAGAACAGGAAACTAAATTTAAAAAAAAAATGGAAATAAAGTGAATATTGGCTTTGCATTCATCAGGATGCAACTTTATTAGGATGCCCATGCTGATCTGTGTCTGCAGGATGCTTAAGTTGCCAAATGTCTGCAAACAGATTAACCATAACAACTTGAGAAACGAGAAGCCAGTCATGCCGTGTCCTTGTGATAGACTCTCCAATTTGCTTAATGTAGCCTTAACAATGTTATAAGGGCAATTTGGGAACTTCAAGTAAGGTCACAGACAGATTGAAGTTCAAGATACTCTTGTTTAAACATTTCTTTGAAGAGTTCTTTTTCTTTTAGGGTGACTGCAAAACCGCACTACATCCTCCTGGAGCAACAGCTGGTATCATGTCCCACACATTCGGCACCATCTGTCAGCCGTGTCATCGGGACAGAACAAGATGTAAGTGTGGATGATTCAAGGCATGTGCTGTCCACGACTGTTCAACAGGGAAACAGCAGACAAAAACCCTGTTAACCAAACATTTCTAGGGCTAAATATCATTTTGGGCTGTGACTCCAGGGGTTAATCTGTCACAGAGAATATCATTAATGCAAATATGCCATTTATGATATCCTCCATATTGATACTGCTGTCACAATAACAACCATGGTTTAGATTAGCAATGGGGGAGGAAAAAGAAATCATGCTGTACATTTATACTAACATGAACTGGATAATGTAAAGAAAATCACAGTGAAAAACTGATGCGGTAGTCTACACCATTCTGCCAAAATTTCATTGCAGCAGCTCAAAAATGGTATTTGTAGTATGTGCTTCCCCTGTGTCCTTATATCCATGCCTGAGAATGACCCTAAAGGAATAATGGATGATGCTCAGGCTACCCTCATGGAGTCCATTTCTAATTCGTTTGGTCATTCACACCAGTGGGCTGCAGAAGGTCATTTTGTTGGGCTCTGGCAGTGCTCATCCTGCTGTCCTTGCACAAAGAAGGAGATACCGGTTCTGCTGATGCGTCAAGCACCTTCTAAAGCCCTGCCCTCTTCGAGAATAACTGCACATCTCCTGGAATCTCCCCCACACTCTAGAGCAAACTTTCTCTCAATGTTACGCATTGATGCATCATCCTGGAGGAGCTGGACTACCTATGCAACCCATGCAGATTGTCCAGGTATAGCCTCATGCTACCAGTATTGACACTGACCCTAGTCAAATGCAAAACTAGTGAAAAAACTATTCTAAAGGACGAGGATGGAAAACTGTCAGTGGACTCCACCTGTAAAAAGATTCCTGTTTTGAGGGTTGACTCATTGTTGCCACTCTAGTGCACCTGGTAGTAGCTGAAACTGATTTACAAACCCCCTCTGTTACTTAACTGACAGAGCAATACCCCAGAGGTTTAACCGCCTCAATGCTATACTCTGATTAAAAGGTGTTCTTTTATTTTTTTTGAGCAGTTTATATATACACATTAACTTTTAAACACCAGAGAGCAATATAATGAGAAATAAAGGATAATAGCATGAGGTTGGCAAGGCTAAAAAAATACAGCAAAAACATGAAAGTGTTTGAAATCTTGTTGAAAGCAGATAATTTGGGATAAATTACATTATATATCGGTGACAAAATAAGAGATGTCAAAGCAAGTTTAATGCCAAGCTTCCCTCGGGATATTCGTGACAAAAACAGAGGCTTTCGGGATGTTTTGGACTAAAACTGTTCGGCATCCTGTTTGACAACAGCACTACTTTATAAAAAAAGAAAAGGCCCACAACATTTTAAAGCAATATTAGAGCAAGCTATTATTTTAACAGGCAACATCAGTTACTGCTAATACAGTGCATCAGTTAGATTTTAAGGAGGAAGAGTAACACTTTTTCTCTATTTTTTTTCTCTATATATTTTTCTGAGACTAGAAGCAGTCGGATTAATGAGCGAACACTTGATATAAAAAGAAGCAAGTATTCAGGCTTTACATCCACATCTCAACAGATGTGGGCAGATTTGATCTAAACCTTGAACACACACAAAAGCCTACAGTTCCGGAAAATGTATTTCCTGTCATCCACCTCCATCACTGAGAGCCGGGGTCGCTCCCTTTGGCCTCGGGAGTACATTGGGTGTCTAAATTTGTAGACTGGCAGGTCTTAGGCCAGATTTTATGACGACATTAGATCCAAGTGTACGAGAAGAGTCCCTGAAGCATACAGTTCCCGCTCCTTTATGAGTCACTGCAATGCTCTCATGAGCTTTCTTCTCAGACAGAGTTCAAAACCAGGGGGAAAAAATGCATCTAGAGATACAGCAAAGAGTTAAGCATATTGCTGTGTTTAACAAGGGGTTGCAAGGTACTTCATAAGTACTTCTACAACATATTCAGAATTATGACTACTCTTCTTAATATACTGCATAATCCACTTGTATTTAACACGGTAGAACAACATGAATTGGTGGATTAGCATTGTTTGAGTAAGCCACACTCAATAAAGGCAGCCAGGGCTTGTGTTCCCTGCAGAATGGATGTGATTTATGAGCAAATTATAGCACGTGAGGTCAACTGAGAAGGCACGATTATCGAATGGCAGCTTTTACTAGCTAGAGGCCAACACTAACCCAGCTCTGGGTCTTGTGTTAATCTGTGCAACTTGTACTTCATCTTTTCTGCTGTAAGTAACAGTCATTACTGATAAAGATGTAAGGTGTATGTTAATGCAGTATATTTTTTAAGTAACTGCACAAAAGGAGACTGCAGGTTATCAGTCTGCTGATCTGAAAGAAATGATGGAGCAGATTCAATAGCTACAGACTGTACCTGCAGATTAACTTTTCAAGCAGAAGTAAATGGAACTGACGGCTGTAAAACCTGCCCGTGCCTCGACAGATAGCATCTCTGTGGTGAATGCTATAAGCACTCCTTTCTGCTCAACCCGTTTATCAAGTTAAGCCAATTATCTTGTCTACTTGTGCACCGAAAGCAAGATTATTTTAGCAGCATAAAAGATAATGAGGTCAATCAAAGTGTCAGCACATAGGCAGCGATGTCAACTGCAAACCTCCATGCTTTTATTTCAAAATAACAGCTTTCAACAAAAAAATTAATTAATTAATTTAAAAAAAATCAGAAAATTGGGGGGCACGTATGTAAATGCTGTTGTCTTGTCTGTTCCCCCACTGTGGGGGAGCTGACAGTGACTGACAAGCTGCAACAACTTTCAAGAAAGACAAAAAATATTTGTAATTATCTACAACAAGTGAAGTAAGAGAACTCCCTAGCCCTAGCTTAGGGTCATTTTCAGAGTGTAACCAGGCACAACTATTTTTCCAATCAAAGTTTTTTTTTAAAATGTCAGTAAAACTTTTTACTGACTCCTTAGATGCCCTGAAATTACCCAACAAGGCGAGAGGGCACATTCTTCTCCTTAGACTCAAATCAAAAGCATCCCTCTATTAAGCTGCAACCCAACTTTAAATATAAGCAGGGGGTCACATTAGGTCATGAGCCAGGCTGGTGCTGTGTTCTCTCCCTTGCTGCATTTCTACCTTTAATCTCAGAATAAAGCCTCAGTACCAAGGAGCAGCCCACCCCAGGTAATAGAGAAGGCCAGAAAGGATCAATACAGTGCTCTACTGATAGCGGGGTGGGGAGTCATGGGGAGCTGCTAACCTCCACAACATCTCACACAGACGTTCCCCTCGCCACTGGAGCCCTCTATCGAGCCGCTTTCCTGTGTGATCCTCTGATCGATAGAGAAGGGGAGGCGACAGAGAAACATAATAGCGGAGGTAACCCCCTCACCAACTTTATCCCAAGGTATTCATCAAGTTCTTTTTAAAGAAGACAGCAGAGGGCTCCTAAGGGTAAACATGCAGGCTCGTTTGTCTCTGTGACTATCTGCATACCATTAGCAATATGCAGACATGTTAAAGGGATAAATTAAATTTAGAGTTCGAAAGAGTGCAAGTAGTTACCAGCCTCGCAGTGTTGTTCCCGGGCAGTTCACGAAAAAGGTCATAATAATTTAACAGGAGAAACATGCTGTTAGACATATAAAAGAACACACAGACGCACCAGGCACTTACTGCCACACTGAAGCAAATAATGGACTGCTCATCAGGTCAATCCTGCACAATGCATCGTACTGACAATGTTAAAGGTTAATATTTAATAACATTTGTCTAAGTGGTTATCAAAAACAGGTCAGTGTAGCTGGCAAAACCAATTTCAACTGAAAGCACAAGAGAAAAAAAAATCACAAGGAAAAAACTTTGCTAATTAATATTCAATTATGGGTCAAAAGCAGTTCAGCCCCACCTTTGTTGTTAAGGTCAGGCTTTAGTCATGACATGTTGCAGGGTCAAACGGAGCCACGCTTTCCCTTTAGCATGCAGAATGATGAAGCTCTGTCATCTCTATGCAAATACTGCAAAGCCTGGATCAACACTGCTCTGCTGCCTGCTGCATTATAGCACTGAAGGAACTCAACCACGAGTTTGAATTTTCAGGTATAAGGGATAAGCAAATCCTAAACCATGTCAGTGCTTCTTCACGTAATACAGTCCCCCGTTTGGATTATATACAGCCTGCTACCGGCTACCGACTAAGACCACAAAATAAGAAACCCTTTTTGCTGAACCTTAAATAAAGAGTAAAAAAAGCAGAGGGCAGAAGCAGCTGCAGGCGGACCGCAGCATTAATAGAATGCATACAATGTCCTTTTAGTTGATTCTACCTGACATCTTGACCTGGCACTTCTTCCGCAATAAAAACCATAAGAAAAGACGATACCTTCTCATACTCACATTGAATTTGATGATGTCATATATCAAATAGCGAGGCACGGGGTGACCGTTCACCTTGTCGATGATCATCTCCTGCAAGGAGTAAGACAAAGATTCGGTCAAGGGGGATGGACAAACGACAAAGGAAAGGGGAGAAGATGCAGAAAGTGGATAGAAAGTAAATGTTCTGAATTACGTGAGGTCTTAACATTACAGCATAATAAAAGAGTTTCCTGTTTGAAACCTGCTATGTAGAAAGTGTGGGAACTCTCTAGAGGATGTATGTTGAGAGAGGAAGATGCCTTTGGCGGTGCAAAAAGATAGCAAGCCAGGTGTGTGGTGTGTAAGTACGTGCACATGGGTGTGTCTGTGTGGTCAAGGAGGACATGAAGCAGAAATAGCACTGCACATTTATTATGCAAGGCTGTCAGGTCGAGGTCAGGTGCAGTCATGACGGTTGACACTCATAAGAAACACGTGATTAGTTTTAAAAGATGTGCACAACAGTAACAGTGAAGATGACGTGGAAGTGGAACGTTTTACACTTTAGCTGATAAATATTTGAGACTGACTCACTACGTATAGAGAACTATATTTATCCCCTCGCCCCTCATAAAATATAGAGGCACCTAACTGTGCTCTAGTGATGTACCTGACAGATAAACGAGTAACAGGTAAGACATCACTCAAGGACACAGCTATTACGCAAAATGAGTATTTTGGAGGCCGAAAGGCTCATATCAACAGTACCATATCAACAATACCAACAGTATGAAGTATGAAGCTTCTGTTACCGAGATCAGTGTAGATGGCATCTACCATCCTTTGGTAACTTGATGGATATTCACTTCCAACCCTGCTGGCAGTAAAAGCGGTCTATGTGATGAGCTGAGCGAATTGCCCATTACTGGTATTTTACAAACGTGAGTGTTATTCTTGTCGCTTTATTGGCAAAAAGTGAGTATGTCAAAACATTTCTTTTAACATTTATTTGACTTAAAAGAACCCAAAGCCAACAATTTCTTTACATTTCAACATTTAACAGCAGCCTTCAGTGCAATGGAAAATTGTTATAGACCTGTCATCTACCAGCCACTTTCCCAAGATGAGAAACTTCTGCTTGAGTACCTGCATCCTAATGACTACTTGAAGTGTGTTACAATAAAAACTCCCCCTGCTGGCTGACGTAATTTTACTTCACATCTCACAGGGCAGGGACCAGACAACAAAACTAAATTTCCACAGCTAGATTGGTGGAGAGGAGAAAAGGTGTGAATGCAAGGCATGCACAGCTCTGAAGGAGGATTTGGAGAGGAGAAATGATGTAATTCCAGGAGGCTGCTGCCATCATTATGGATCTGGTGCACTGAACCATGGCGCAGACAGACAGCAGCGGATGAATACATTAATGTGACCAAAGGAAACTGCCAGGAATTCAATCTACACTGTGCATTCATCCAAAATTGGAACCCAAGTTGATGTAAAGCTCATTAAAACTGTAACACAAAACAGCATGTAAAGACAAAGACCAGAGGCTCTGGGCTAAAGATGAAGAATATCAGACAACACAGCTGGGTTCTAAAGGGATCCTCATAAACTGCAAAATACAGCCTCTATCAGCTAAGAGCCAGAAGCATCAACAGATTAATAAACCCGAGTCAAAACAAACCTTGCAGCAATCTAAACACACAGCCACACAGCTTCTTCAAAGGAACACTTAACACGCTGCAATTAGACATCCTGCCTGAGTGAGGAACTTAAATTCACCACATCAATCAGAAACTGTTAAGCTAAGAGGAAGCGCAAACCTGGTGTTTGCATAAAATCTCAAAACTTTGACGAAGCAAAGCCAGGAGCAACACATAAAGAATGAAAGGCAACTTATTTGTAATCTTCAGTATTTGAAAGACAAAAACAAAGTCTGGCTGGCTTTATAATCACTGATGACATGAACGTGCAAGCAGTTTCCTATGTTTTCATGATGACTCATACATGTGCACCTGCTGCAGTGGTGCAGCTTGGACCTGCGTGACACACGCTGCACAGACACGCTAGTGGAAGTCAGAGCCTGGCATTACAGTGGAAGGATAAGTCACCGACCCCTGCTGAGCACACAGCAGAGCGCAACAACAAAAACACAACGCAGAACAAAGACTGAAAACTGAAACATTTCATTAGTGCTTTCCCCAGGATGTGTGCAATTGGAGTCTGCTGTTTCAAACTGAAACGTGCTCACCTTTCACACCAGGTTTGACAGCTGGTGTCAATTAGCCTTTTCTAATTTCGTAAAAAGACTACGCAGCAGGAGCAGGATGACAGCAAATTTGGAATTGGAGATGATGCTGGACAAGAAGCATAACTTACCCCATCCAACAGAGTATTTGATAGGTGGACACGTGGCTCTTTCCGGAAAGGAAACTCTAGATTTGATATGTGGAAGACGGCGTTGTCTCTGTCGATCATGTACACCTCATTTTTTCCATTGATGAGCATCATGTACCTGTGGAAAAACAGGATGCATCATTAGCTAGTTGTAAGTACAAGTTAACAAGTTTTATTTGTGTTAATCGCTGTGATAGCAATGATTATAAGAAGAACCACTGAAACCCCAAACTCAAGCAGTTATAAAGAATATATTGGAAACTGTAACGCTGTCATAAATTCAATAAAATCCTGGCAATAAATCCTACATTTTTTTTTATATGCTATGAATCAAAAACACTTTTGGGGACTACTTGGTTGGGATCTTCATAAATGAAGCTAATCCTCATCAGAACTACAAGTGGGAGCTTTGATTAGATTAGATTTCATTAGCAGTGATTAAACAGCCTCCCAGCCGTCACAAATGTCTAAATTAAATATTACAAAATCCTGGCTGGTGCACAAATTATGCGATATCAGTTGTTTTCTAACTATGGTATGTTTTCTGTATGTGTTAAAAAAGCCCAACTAGGGATGGTCATCACAAACTAGCTTAAGTTTAGTACTGTGTAGCTTTTATCTTTTAACATATCCATACATCCATAAATCCGTACATCTCCAACATACCCCCCCCCCCAAAAAAACTTTATATTTATACGTGTCTCCCATCAATTTTAAGAATAATGATTTCCTTGTTTCCATTACACAAAAGGGGGGATTTAAATTGCAACAAAGACAACAGCTTCAACCCCAAAAAAGCAAAGCACTGGCCTCACCTATTGGCTGAATCTTTACTACTAAAATGGTAAAGTGTGTGTGTGTGTGTGTGTGTGTGTGTGTGTGTGTGTGTGTGTGTGTGTGTGTGTGTGTGTGTGTGAGAGAGATCGACCCTGTCGATCAAGAGCTCCTTCACAACACATTCACTGAACAGGAACAGAATAGATTAGAAAAACAGCATCTCAGCATAACTGTTTCAAAATGTACATGTTTTCCATTTCACTCAAAGTATGTTTAATTGTTTCTTTGGGGTAAACTATTATAGCCTTTGTGCCACTTTATTAAAATGTTTTGTATTGCTTGTTTTCATGTAATTTCTCCAGACAAGCAAAGAGGCCTATAATTTTCTTTCATTAGCTTATTTGGATGATTAAGTATGGTAATAATAATAATAATACTTTAAAGCTTAATTGTTGTAGGCAAAGAGAAACAACACAGAGAGTCTGTGTATGCCTCCAATGTGCAAATGAGCTGTGTTCAATTGAAAAAGCAAAACAAAAACAAACAAAGAAAAAAAACCATAGGTAAAGGTGCAAGAGCTTTTAATCGTGTCTGAAAAAGGAAAGATCACCACACAGATGCTTAATTACCAAAGCACCCATTTTTCCTTTTATCTAGCTGCAGTTAACGAGAACTGCAAACTAAAAGCTGTGATCAGTGTGGCTGAAACTGAACAGACACATAAAAGCTTGCTTATTTTACTTCTAAAAAGAATAAAAGGTGGCTGATACTAAAACTTGTTTTCTTTTTACAAAAAGCATCTTAATAAAATTTTTACTCGATGGTAAACCAATTATTTTTCTTATTACAGAAGTCCCTTAGCATCTTCCACTAGGACAAAAACACTTTGTTAGCACAGAGTAATAACCTATCTTCAAACTGCATACATCACCAGTGGCCCATGCTCAGCTAATCCACAGCACGCCTTTGCAGGTGAGATAAAGAGGCACAAAACAACATTTCTACAGTCTGTTTTCCTCAAGCTAAACTTTTGCAGCAATAAAGCAACGTAACATACCTTGTGTGATTTCATGCTGTTGTCTCTACAGTATATATTTATTACTGTTACCATTTTAAAGGTTTTTTGTTTTGTTTTGTTCAAAGAAAACCAACATGGTCAGTCTGGGGTCACACATTGTTTGTGTTATTGGATTAAATGGTATTACACTGCAAGGGATTCGCTGGTATTTTGTCCATCATAATCTTTATTTTTTCTGCTTTGGGATTCTTCAAAAGTAATATTAAGTAAAAGCAAAACAGAAAGTGAAAAGACAATCCACTGCTGGAAAATTACTTTTCCACCCTTGAGTAGGCCAATCTGGGAGATTCAAAACTTGAGAGCAGCGACTGTTGGACTGTTAAAAGCTGTTAAAACAGGCCAGCTTTCAAACATGGGTCATGATATGACCATGTGGCTGGTATTAGTTTGACTCATAAGGTGTGCCGCACTGCCAGCGCATGAAGGATAAGACCCCTTTTAGATTTTTATCACCCTTATTTCTCCATCTGCACCACTACAAGGATGGGGTGGGGGTATCTTTGAATAACCAAAGTAAACACTACAGGTGAACTGAGATGTTCTTCTCTCAGGCATTTTCTTTAGAGGCGTGGGGCTTACAAATTAACTGGATATGGGTTCCCACCACATGCATGTTAATCTATTATTGTGTAGACACCCCATCTGGAAAATAAGTCATCCAAATTATTTGGAACCCAGTTATAATTTAAGGATCCATCCTTCTGCTGGTGCTGTCTAATTTAGAAAAACTGACCTAATGTATTTCATTTAATGAGATGTTTTCTTCTTATTGGGGCTAAATTGAACTGTGCTAGATGAATTTTGTGCATCGGGCCAGGTTGCTTTATCATCTTTTCATTAAGATACATAAAACTGAGGTCGAACAATATTCGAAAATACTGAGCCTTGAGCCGTTCCTCATTTCTTTTCATTTTAAAAGGAAAATGAGAAACAGGTGCAAGGATCTATCAAAATGTGCAGCAAATAAGGCAAAAACTTTTTTTCGAACAATTCTAACAAGCTTGAAAGTCAATATGAAAGTATGACTATCTTATATAAGTATATAAGCTTTCTTATATACTTTTTTTAAGCAGTGTTCAGGAATAGTTCTTCATGCATTTAACACTCTTCTTTGGATGATGGCGGTTTGTTCTCTGTCAAAATGATTTTAACAATGTTGAGGTTTGGGCTCTGAGGAGGCCAATCCATGACTCGACTTAACTAGGTTTTTAGGGTTTTTTATTAGATAGTAGCACCTTTACCAGGACACACTACACCCACTGTCAGAATATGCCAAGTTTTCAGCTAATACATACACTTTTTTACTGTCAAACTCCATTACCTTTGATATTTTTCAATTATTTGAATACAAAATGCTAACAAATGATGTGTTTTGGGGTGCTAGTTTTAAAGATATTATACATATTACAATATTATATAGATATAAAATACATACATTTCAGTACCAAATAATACCTGAAGAATACCCAGAGAGGCACAGTTGTGTTTGCTGCTTTATCAATAAACACAATGAGCTGGCAAATAATTAAGAGCAGTTTCGAAACAGGGACATTAAACAGACTTAAATCCTTGATCTTCCCTTCTGTTGGTTCCCCAAAAATGAGCTAAAAAAAGATGGGCCACACCCAAAAACACAGCCACCATTGTTGCCTTTGTGTTTCCTCCAGAACAGTCTCCAAGTATAACAGCAGGTGTGAGCATTCAGCATTGTTTTTACCCAACTGCTTTGATTAGATTTTCCATGTCAAATAGATCTTTATTAGGCTCTCTTTGTTGTCTTTTTTTTAACTTAAAGAACAATATGTACAGAATGACAAAACCCAGAAACTCAACCATAGTTGACAAGTCCCATTAATGTCACTCAACTTATTTTTGTTGTTGTTGTTAACTTAACATCCATCCATATGCGTGACATTATTCTGTTTAATGGTTGATTAGTTAAGAGTCAAGTAGGCTTGTCTTTGTTAATTCCACTGAGAGAGAGAATCTGGTGGCTTCATTACACACCTCTTATGAACTCAATTACACTCTGCAGTCTGCTGGCTGCTCTTTAAAACAAAATACCAAGTGCTGAATAAAGCAGAACTAATATGTCGTAATGAGCAACTAAAGCCCTGCTGTATTTGGAAAGGTTAAGTATCCTAATCAATGCGAGTAAAAACTGCAGCAAATTATCTTGTATTTCAAACCAGAAGAAAATTGGTAGAAGACTTTCATGTGATACCAACTTACAGCTAGTACACACACTGAAGGGATTTACGCATTGTCGGAAAGCCAATTTGGATGACAGAGATGAATTTGAGATTAATGACTTCCCAAAGGACAAAGACACAAATTTCTCATACCTGCTGTGACTCTCCACGATTATAAACAACAGGATTAGACCTAATAAATATGCCACCAACACCAGCTGGTTCAAATAGGGAAACTTGTCAAGATGCCAAGAGTGAGGGTGCGTGGAAGTTTACACCAGCAACAGTGATGTGCGTTACACAAGTAATGTGCCAATGCCATTTACCCTGCTGACTCTCAAAGGAGATGTCTGGCCCAGGACCTCCAACACGGACCGCACCAAAGTATATCTGGTGAAATATAATGATATATGAGCGTCTTTATGTATGGTCTTGTTTTATTTTGGTCATAAGCCAATGTACTAGTTAATAATTCCCTAGCTAGCCTTAGCCCCTCTCATCCCTAATGCCTTAATCTTCATTGCAGACATGGATACACACACAGACATCTGGGGAGCTGCTAGCCAAATAGTCATTCGGGTCATATTTATTTAAAATCTGCTTAAAGTCCAGCAGCTGGGGCACATCTGTAATAGATGTATTATAATGCAAGATGACTGCCCCTCCCTGAACCTGGTTCTATTGGAGTTTTATTCCTGTTAAAAGGGGGTTCGTCCTTCCCACTGTCGCGAAATACTTGCTCACAGGGGGTGTTGTCTGATTGTTGGGGTTTTCTCTGTATTACTGTAGGGTCTTTAGCTTACAATTTAAAGTGCCTTGAGGTGACTGTTGCTGTGATTTGGTGCCAGATAAGTAAAATTGGATTCAATCAATTTAATTGTCAGATGAATCCCTGAAGTATGTCTTAAAAGCAGGTTGACAGGAAACACGTGGAGACCATAGGTATCATTCAGCTGCCTCTCCACTCTTGGGGTCAGATGGACTTCACAGTCACCATATTGGGCCACAGTATGGTGAAGCAGTGGATGGTCTGATATCCTCGTGTCAGTGTTGTTCCCACATCATCACAAT